ACAGTTCTGATCTGTGTGAAGAGAGCAAGCATTTCTTCCAAAGCTGCCTTCTCTGGCATGGGTATTTACTGCAGCGCTGGGACACAGGTAGTGGGGAGGGTCTTCAGTTCATTGTCGCTCAGAGTTTCCGCATTTCCTCAGACACAGGCTGACAATATTCCTGCTGGCATTGCTTTCCTGTTTCTGGGGGGCCAGCCCCTGGCTTGACTCCTGAGGGAGCTGAGATCCAGACTGGGTTATGGAGGAGCCAGGAATGCACTGCCTTCCATTGGGTTGCCTGAGCAAAGGCTGTCCAATGCTTCTCTGCCCTGCCAGCCGAGGATGGTTTTGACCATTGATGTCAGTTGTTTTGAAAGTATAAAGTCATGTCCCTGACAGCCAGGTAGGATGTCCCACACAGTGGCAGGCTCTCCTAGGAACGGTGTAGTGACACATTGAAGGGACATCTGTGGGGACTTTGGTAGGCCACACCTGGCACAGGCCACTATTTCAGACAGGTACTGCCATCCCTAGGGGAGATCTTTATTGGTGTCTATTCCTCCCTTAGGATCGAGTGAGACGTTTCTATCCTACAAAGGGCACATTCCGTTCGATATACATGACGAGACCAACGATCCCCGGAGCACACTGGTAACTTTATCATCACTGGCTTTACTCGCTCATGGAGGGTGGGGCGGGCTGGTGTTCCCCAGAATGGTCCCAGCCTTGATCCTCTCGCTTTGCTCACATCACTGCAGAGCTCCCATGGCACAGGGATGTCTTTCCTCTGTGTCCTTGGCTTACCCTTGAGTGGCCCAGAGCTTCTAGTTTAGACGAGGCCGCCCCCAGGCTCTCTGAGTTGCACTCAAGTTGGCTCTGGCACATGGAGACCCACGAATAACAAAAGGACAGGTCGCCTGGTCCTCATGGTGGCTGGGAGGCTCACGTCCATATCCCACAGGATAGAGCACTGCTCCATTGGGCGTCCAAGGCTGTAAATCTCACAGAAGTGGACTCTGCCCTCTTTCTTTCTCCGCATGGCGGGTGAGCTCAAACCACCAATCTTTTGGTTAGCTGCCCAGTGCTTGGCCACACTGCCACACCAACATTCCTTCATGCCACTTACAGGGAGATGGGAAAAGAAAGAGGACATTAGCTGGAGTGGGGAAGCAGCAGTCTGTTAGAGGCCCTTCAGACTGTTTGAAGTGAATTTGCCTCTAGTCATCCCCTTCCCTTGACTTCTCAGGAAAACAGTGTTTCTAGAAGTCCAGTGTCTGAGCTTCCTGTATGCACTCATGCCTGTTAGCGAGTCAGCGGTACAATGTTTGCTTCCAGGTCAGACACCTGCTCCATCGATTCCCACCCATTGTCCCTCATGCACACCCACCACCTGCACCCTGTCCATGGAGGCCTGCGTGGTGTCATGATGCTAAATAGGTTTTCCTGAAGCTTCTAGACTGAGGCAGACTAGGAAGAAAGACCTGGCAGGCTCGTGAGGACACTGTGGATTTCAAGAGCCCCATCTGCAGCTGATGGTATGGCCAGCCCAGGGACAGGGAGCTGTTCAGTGGCATTGTGTGTGGGGCCGGGAAGACAGGACCCAAACCGAGGTCCATTCATTCCACGTGAGTAGGAGCCACAGCCTGAGGTGCTAGCATTCCCAGGCAGGTCTTTCAGACCCGCAAGAAGAAGCCAAAAGTTTCCAAGCCCAGTGTGATGAGTGTGAGGAGGACCGTGCAGATGGAGGGAGGAACTTTAGGATGGCCTGTCTGGCATCAGTGTAACAGCAAGGCTTCACAGATGAACGGAACCCGTGATATGAGATGCAGAGACTGACTCAGGACCAAGGAGAGCAGCCTATAAGTGCTTGGGTGTTAGGGGGCCAGTCAGTCAGGCCAGGAAACTGGGTCAGGAAGTAGGCCCTAGGTCTGCACAAGCCCCCATAAGGAATTTGCAGTTTGCTCTCATTGTCAGAGGGCGTGGTATGTTCCCGCACCCACCCACCCTTTTTTTTAACAAAGACACTGGAGAGTGGTGAAGATTGCAATGGGGCCCAAGTAGGAGGTGAATGCAGGGTCCTTTTGTTAAGAGGTCAAGGTGGCTTAGTGAGCAAAAAGGGGCTCTTCCTTTGCTTCTGGATACCTTCAGGAAGACCAGCCACAGGCCACAGTCCAGCCCCACTTAGTGACTGACTTTTCAGTTAGCAGTCAAACATGATAGCTGTTAGCTCCACCCTGGGACTTCACAGAAGTATTGAGTTCTTTCTGAGTATGGGAAGCCCAGTGGTATAATGGGTTACACATTGGGCTGCTAACCATAAGGTCAGCACTTCAATCCCACCAGCCAGTCCTCAGGAGTAGGCTGAGACTTTCTGTTGGTCCCATAATGGTTTACTGCCTCAGAAACCCACAGGGGGAATCTACTGTGCCCTCTCAGGTCGCTATGAGTCAGAATCAACTTGATGGCAGGGGGGTGGGTTTGGGGAGTGATGTATCATGTTTATATAAAACTAATAATACAAATAAGGTTGACATTCAGTCAACACTATCTGATGGTGCCCCGTGTGTGTCAGAGTAGAACTGTGATCCAGAAATACAGTAATGGCAGATGTTTGCTAATGGATTGATTGATTTTGGAAGTAAGTCACCAGGCCTTTCTTACCAGCTACTTCTGATTAGACTTGAACTTTCATTATTAGCCAAGAGCAATTACTATTTATACCACCCAAGGTCAGCACAGGTGGTCCTCCACCTGTCATATCATGCTAAGAATTCACCCTGTCACAAGTAACGAGCAAGCTTCTTAAGAAGAACTTCCTTATCTCCAAATTCTGCATCCTCAGAAATTACTCCACAAACATGTATTAGGACTTGCCAAGTGCCCTAAGGGAGCTGTGAGCTAACCATTGGACAGCTAACCATAGGCTGGCAGTTCAAACCCACCAGCCACTCCTTGGGAGAAAGACGAGACCATCTGCTCCCATAAAAATGTACAGTCAAAGCGATTTAACTGTGGACATGAATAACAATCAAGTGCCAATAGCACAGCTAACAAGTGAAGCTTTAACAGATTTACCGTCTCAGAACCCTACGTAGAGTCACCCTCAGTTGGAGCCAACTGGGTGATCACATGCCGGGGCCCCTGGTGACATAGTGGTTTACTGAAAGGCTGGTTGTTGGAATCCACCAGCCAGGCCACAAAAGGAAACTGTAGAGCGTGGCAGTCAGCTTCTGTGACAAGGTCAGCCTTGGAAAGCCTGCGGAGAAGGTCCCCTCTGGCCTATAGCGTCCCTGTGAATCAGTGTCTACTCCACAGAGGTGGGCTGTGCACCAAACAGACAGAGCAAGGAGCAGACCAGCCCAGAATCTCTCCTAGAAAGACTGACATGTAATAAAACATACAGTGGACTGCATGGTGATCACTGCCTGCAGGCACCAGAGAAGGAAGAAGAGAATGGAGGGAAGAGTTGACATGGTCCATAGGAGACTAAGGAAGACCCCCTGAGAATGTAGTGCTCAGAGATGCAAAGGAGGGGGAGAACATGAAAGGAAGAGGTGACAGGAAGTGCAGCGGTCCTGGGCAGAGGGAGAAATGTTTGGAGTGTCCGAGACCAGTGAGGGGCTCAGTGTGCCAGGAGACGGGGCAATGTGATTGAGGGAGGGCTAGGGCAGCACGGGTACAGGAAGCCCCACCATGAAGAGCAATGCAGACAACAAACAACAGTGTCGTGCTACAGAAGGCTCCCTGGTGGCTCCACTTTCTTGCCCTCAACTGCTCATCTCAAAGTAGGCAGCTCGAACCCACCTAGCAGTGCCACGGAATAAAGGCCTGTCAGTCTACTTCCATAAAGATCACCACCCACAAAACGCTCTGGAGTAATTCTCTCCTAATACATGGTAGGAGCTGATGTCGTGGTGGTGGGTTTTGTGGAGCTTTCTGCCTGGAGAAATGTTTGTCATTCAGTTTCTTCTTTTTCTCTAACATGGTCATAAGATGACACCTAACAGCTTCCTTCAGCTAAGAGACCTGACCAAGCTAAACCTGACCATCTTACTAGGAATTCCCCGACTGAGCAGTAGCCTAATGAAGCACAAATTGTCTCTTCTTGGTGCTGGACAAGTGGAGGTTCACACTCTTGTGGTTTTGCCTGTTGGTGTGCAACGTGTGTGTGTGTGTGTGTGTGTGTGTGTGTGTGTATGTGTGTGAGTGTGTAATTGTCTCACAAGCCTAGCCAGGTAGTGGCTGGTGTGGGCTCTTGGTTTGCCTGATGATGTTCAGAGGAGGTGAAGGTTAGACTGTGGAGCCTTCTCAGGCCCCTCCGTCTTGTCTCCCCACATAGGTTGCGAATCAATACATGGCTTGGTAGACCCAGGCCCAAGAAGCCATGGGCCCAGAGGCAGCGCGGGTGAGTAGCTGGGACATGCTGGAGGTAAGTATGAGGGCAACAAGGGACTCTGGTAAGAGAGGCCCCCAAGACCTGTTGACTACACAGGTTAGAGATATGACACCCACAGCCCTCCCAGGTGTGTTAGGAACCTGACCACCAATAAGGAGGGGTGGGTGTCGGCCAGCAGCCTGTGGGCACTCATCAGCAAATCCAAGCAGCTCAGTGCTTGGGCAGCTCGGGGCAGAGCCCACAAACCACATATCCCTCACTCAGACCCTCATGTCAAATACACCCCACTAATGATTTGAGAGGAAAATATAAAAACAAAAACATGCTGTCAGGTGAACTGATTCAGGGCCTCCCAATGTGCTTGAGAGCAGAGCTGTGCTCTGTGGGTTCTCAGTGGATGATACTTAAGTCATGGGTTGCCAGGCCTTTCTTCTGATGCGCCTCTGAACAGACACTGACTTCCAATCTCTCAATTAGCAGACTAGTACTTAACCATTCGTAGCCTGTAGGGGTACCACAAAGGAATACAAAAGTGGACACTTAATTGTTTGTTTTCCTTAGAGGACAAAGCCCAAGCTGAGACAGACCTCCATCATTGATCTGTTGTTTTTCTTTCCTTCTCCAGAGTCAGGCACCAGCTCCGCCTTGCTCAGCATCTCCTCCAGCTGTATTGAGAGCTGCAATATCACCTTCTCCGACCTCAATGGCTGCTGATCACCAGGGTCAGGTTTCTGCCTCCTATAGGCGGGACTCTTGAGCAAACTCTTGTCAAAACCGAAGAGCAGTAGAACCAGCATGTGCATCTCTTAAGTTTTCTTTTGCTTGGGCTTGCTTAGTTTGATGAGGCAATGGTGCTTTTCCAAGAAAATACTGAAGAAGAAGAAAAAAAACAACAACTAGAGAGTCCTGGAAGATCTGAATGAAGAACTGCCTAGCTGCCTGAGGAATGTGGAGATTCTAGGATGCAAGGAAACATTCAGGAGGGGAGGTTCTTGAAGGTTCTGCTGGACAGCCTTAAGGCCAGAGGACCACCCTGTGTGCCACACAGCAGCCAGTGTTCACAGGAAGATGGCACCTAAGGGACACCAAGGCTTCCCAGATAAGTCTGCTTGCTAGCTAGTGGGTCACATGCAAAGAAGGCTGGGGACACCTGTTCCCAGACATCCCTTTCTGGAGTCTCTCAGGCAGATGCACTAGTGGTGTGTCTTTCTGAGCAGCTGTGTTCTCTGATCTGCTGCTTTGTGCAGGAATGTGCATACTTTGGAAGCCATTTCCCAAGAGAAGTTGAGCGTTTCAATGACCCAACAGCTTGAAGAGAGCAGGGTGAGGTGGATGGGGGACTCTTTTGGCTTTCACAAGTGTGTTTTTAAAAAACAGGGGTCAATTCCATGGCCATTTTTCTGAGTGGTACTCAGTCTCTCATCTTTACCAAGAATCACTGTGTTTACATACAATGATGATTTGATACAACACTATTTTTGGTTTCTAGGGTTTGCGTTGGAACATGTTCATACTACTGAATGATTTGGGGGTTGGGGAGCATGTCCCACTGCAGTCTTGAGCCAGCCGAGGTGGTCCTACCCTATGAGGATTCCAAGAGACACCTCCCTAAGTTAGGAACTAACATGGCACCCGGAGTCAGAATGGACTCGGTGACAGTTAGTCATTCAGATGCTCATGCTCCACCTTGTTGTGTACAAAGCCATTG